CCCCTACTCAAATCGCCACTCCTCTCCTCCCTCCATCAAAGCTAACCAACACACTCCAGGTCTCGATCTCCAAAATAATTCCTTCTGGGAATTCCGCGACGCGATAACCGCCGGTCGCATGCGCAGAATCGTCCAAACACCATCCTCGATTCAATATTCAGATGTAAAAATAAGTCCTCAATGGCATCAGTGGCTGCGGCATACACGAGAAGATGCACCTAGTATTGAAGAATTGATGGGTGATATAGCGAGACAGGAACGATTAAAGGTATTAGCTAGACAGGCGGATGAGAGGTGGAATGCCAAAGCGAGTTTTCTGGACCAGCCAGCGACGAGGCAGCAGGCGTTGCCGGCTACGCAGGTTAGAGATGGAGGGGCGTATACGAGGATGGATCCGAGAGGGGATGGAAAGGGTGTGGCGAATGCTGTTGCGAGTGAGGCTGGGGAGGTGGAGAAGGAGAGAGTGGTTACGACGGATAAGCCGGCGAGTAGTGAAACACAGTATGATGCGACGACACAGCCGAGAGAAGAGAAGAAATATAAGGATGATCCATGGAAGAAGGCAAGAGGAGGACCAAGTGAAGAGTGGCAACCCAAGGCCTGGGATCCGAATGATATGCCAGCAGCTCGAAGATAATGTATTAATGTTATTATAGTAATTACGAATCCAATTACATGAAGTAGAAGGCAATTTGGCTCACCCTGTATCCTCCTGTTACTATACGAGTATCTATTAAGATATGATGTTGCTCGAAGTGCCATATTGTTGCTATGATTTCCACGAGCTACCGTATCTATGTGACCCTTAAAATTGACACACACTTTTCCTCCGTGACCTGATAGCAAATGGTATCGTTGCAAACTCCAATAACCAGTAACTCCTTGCTGAAGTGAACTCATTCAGTCAAACGTGATTAACTTCAATGTGATGTCAATAATCCAACTAAGCACTGGACTCTTCTACCCAATCCACTAAACTTCTTAGTCTTCTTGAGCTTGCATCTAGAAAGACCTTTGCAATTTCCTCCTCCTTCTTCATTGCATCTACTTTCCGTCTACCATCTGGCTTGCACTTCTTCTCCCTTGCGTTGATTCCCCTCTCAATCGCATCATCTAAATCAGGTGTATGAAGACCTTCGCAATCCGTCAAGAATAGGCGGAAAAGATTTTCCACCAAGATTGAATATTTGGCATTATCCTCTATGGATGAGGTCATAGGACAATGCGGAAGATAACAAATTTCGAGGATTCTTTGCGTTAGTGTGTCGTTTTTGAAATTTTCAACATCTTGAGGACGAATTGCAGATTTTGGAAGATATCGCGAGCATAATAGTTGTATAAGCGAGACAAGGACCACCGAAGGGAAAGGTGATGTATGCGAGATATTGAGGAGAAGTGAGAACGATGCGATAGGAAGTGCTACAGTGAACTCTGCGAGGAGATCGTAAACATCGCGTAAAGGCATAGATTTTTGCGGAAGGGTCGCGGAAACGCGTGATAGCTGCAAAGTTTAGTATGGGATTTTGAAGACAGGAGGGAATTTCTTACCAGAGTTATGATGCGCTGACGCAAGCGAATAGAGTCCGGGTCGCCAATATTAGAAGAATATATTGGACTGCCTTTCTTGCCCTGCTTTGTGCCTATTTCCTCTTGATCCTCTGATGTATCGGATGTAAGATCGCCCTCTTCCTCTTCATCGAAATCACCAAAGCCCATTTCCTTGATACCTTTGCTGTCCTCCCATTTTCTTTTTTGCGATTCGTCTTTTTTGATGTCTTTTGTTTCATTCTCGAAAATTTCTGGATATGCTTTCATAGATTGCGCGGATCCGTCCGCAAAGGCTGCATTTACAATCCGCCTGACAGCAGTTCCATTACGATTTTGACCAGAGACGCCTAGATATTGTACCAGTAACGAATCTTGAAGCATTTCATGACCGAGAGAAAGTCCCTTGTTCCCTTGTTTCTGACCGGCTTGAGCGTTGAATGCTGCTTCATCCATAATCTCTCGTTCGTGCCAGTCCGCTTCCAGCACATCTAATAGAAACTCCAAAAGAACCTTCCAATACCTCCACCTCTTAGGATACCTAACACTGCAATTAAATGACCAGCCCACTATATGCCAAAAGTCCTTGGCGCATCTCCACAGTCCATTTTGAGATATGATCCCTTTTATATCGTCGTCGTCATCACTGTTAGAATCACTCTCTTCATCGCCATAGACTCGACGGTTGTGTCTGCCAGATTCAAAGGAAAATGCTTTTTGGAGCTTGGCACTCTTAGGACCAATTTCAGTAAGGGTATTTCGTAGAAAGGTGATGGATCTGGAGGCTACCTCAACATGATCATGCTGGGCTCGAGTTGTAGTAATGGGATGTACCAGCAATGTGCTAGCTATCTGTAGAAACTTGGGGTTCGGAATACAGGCAGCTTTCGAGGTTGTAGTTGAATGTGAAATACCAGAGGTTAGGACATCGGAAAGTAAGATGAGGGCGTGGTTATCTATTTAAAATGTAAGTAGTCGCTCAACAACCATCGTAGCCAAAATATGAATCCATACACATCCGCTCATCAAAGTATATTTTGACATGGTCCTCAATTTCTCTAGAGATTTTGTTTGCTTGGCAATATTGTGGATTCTGTAAAGAATTTCCACGTCCATCTGTGCTATCTGCCATGAAGGATGGACACGGCGACGATGGGGAATCCAAAGCCGTATGAAATGAGGATGGGGAGCTCAACATCCTGGCGTTGTGGGTATGAATGTGAGGGTGGGTAGGGGTATCGCGGTGCTATAATTTCGACGCGGATTTCGCGTTTGTGGCCTGTATAACCCCGTTTCTTCAGTAGTTTTTACCGATTTTTGGCGGGTTCGCTCCAAATATTAACTAAAGGCTAGCAATTCAAAACATCAATATGTTGAATGAATTCAGATGTTACACATTTTTCTTTCACGAAAAGAGGTTATCCATCTATTATGATGTTGGTTTTGAAACCTTTGAAGTTGTAGGAAGGAATTATCGACCAAGCAGGTCAGAACACTTCCATCGTTTCAAGTGGAATATTTTGTGATCGTTTTGCATTTCCTGCTGTAAGAAGGATATCTACATTGGCTGATATTGGTAGAACTCTGCAAAGTTACAGATTTCCGAAGTTCAGAAGAAATACACATATCTCGAGTGGACGATATTATCAGGTACCTGTTCAATTGTATGATTGTGATAAAGTCATCGTCGTTATAGGGCGAGTGAATTGGAGGGCGGCACAGCTATTGTGATAGATCCTCCTTGTGTTTGGAGTACATTCATTTCTCTGAATTTATGACACAAGTCGAGGCACCAGCCTCTGCGGCTGAATATACCGAATGTACTGAATCCTAGAGCTTCTTGATCCTCCATCGAAGGTACACATCATTGCTATCATCATATCTAAATGACTACCCCCCATAAGTCTATCCTTCAGAACATACAGATTGGAAGAAGTGAGATGAGGGTGGATATTATGCTTGCGAGAACATTCTTGAACTTGAATCCCAACTCAGGGACAGATGAGCTCTTATCTCTACCAGAATCACAGGCCAAGTTGTCGGCTCTGACGATGAGTATCAGTATTTGAGCTTAACGACTCTGCTTTTGCTACACCTACTCCATATTACGCAAATTCGTTTGAAGTAGATCTTATCTTGGTGTGTCTACACGCAATCAAGATGCCGAATTCCATGAGCTCATATCCTTTGCCATATAAAAAGCTCAGCAGAACAGATTCCTTCTTAATTGACGTCGACGTCTACCAACTTACGCTGCAAGCCTCGATCTATTTGCAGTAATACCAACTACGAGAGACTTGACATGATTATAAGGATAGCCATAACACATGAATATCATCGTGGGACAATCCACGAGAGATGCTCGTCAGAGAGATAATCGGATGAAAGTCATTGATCGGGTCGAATTTGAACTATTGGAGAATGACAGTGTTTCTGAAAAGTAGATTATATCACCTCAACAACGACACAACGGCTGTCGCTGAAAAGAGCCTTGAGTTTTCAAGTGAATGGCACTTCTTTCACAAACCTAAAATCAAACATTTGAAGGATTTTCTGTCCAGGACTCGACGAAAACACGAAGACAGTCAGGTCCCATACACATTTCTTCACTCCACAAGAAATAACATGTGCCATTTTGGTATTGATAGAACGAGGTTGCGTTTGCATCATATCTCTAACTAATATCCTCACAGCCTTGAATATATTCTTAGGTGTATGATTCACAATCAACAAAGATTACAGTTATAATATGAGTAATGCTTTGCTCTTACCTAGCCATGCCACTAGCCTTGGAATTTTGATCTGTGTAGCACTTTCTGGACATCATTACAAGCATTGTAAGTACTTTCATAAGCAACTGCCACGATCACATCAAATTTGAAATTCCCGCCAGATTAAACCATTTTCAATGAAAGCATCAGGAAATTGGTATAATGATGGACGGTATGATTTATCCGATTTCGGACATGAAAATATTATGGTCTCAATACCATCATCCTGAGCTACATATTTCTGAGACGAGAGCCTCGCTCAAGAGTGTTCAAATCCTACTTTATGATTGCAGAGTTATCTACAAATCAATAGGAAACAAAGGTGAAGCGAATGCATGAACTTTGCCTAGGAGAATCCGATTAAACTCACTCTTCATGTTTGGAATAACAAGGTGCAAAGTTCCTTGCGCTGGAGCATAGCCTGTATACAATGGATACTTAGTGCTAGGTATTTTTATTTTCAAACTCTAATTCTACCATTGAAAGTCGAAGATTGTCAGCGGAAAAGTTTCAACGGATGACCGAGTTTTACAGTTGTTTGCCTTATCCTACAATACCTCCAATAGTCTTCAGGTTTGCAAGCCTCTCAATGTCAAGGGGTCTGTCTTATTTGAAGGCAGTTTGATATGTATGCGCCATTGAAATGCCCAATGTCTCTCAATGTGAGACAAATAATATTTTGCTTTAATCCACGCCCGACTCTTCTTCTTCCCCTTCATCGTCATCATCGTCCTCATCGTCAGAGACGCTCTCACCAAGGGCCTTCAAACGTTCCTTGTACTTTGTCACCTTCTCCTCCATATCACCGAAAACCATTAGCAGATCATCAAGTTCGCTTTGAGCGGCCTGTCTCGCGGTCTCTTTATCCTGCAGATCCGCTTCCACTTTGGCGACCTTGTTTTGCACAGCCTGTCTCGCGGTCTCTTTGCCCTGGAGATCCGCTTCCGTTTTAGCAAGCTTGCTTTGAGCGGTACTCGCTTGTTCCTTAAATTCTTTAATTTTCTCTTCCGCTTTGGCAAGCTTCGTTTGAGCGGTACTGGCCTGTTCCTTCATTTCCTCCATTATCTCTTTCGCCCTGGCAACCTCTGCTTGAGCGGTGCTGGCTTGCTCCTCCATTTCCTTAATTTTCTCTTCTGCGCGCTGCAAGAGTACATCTTGTTCAGCCTTATTTGCTGTGTATGTATCATGCGCAGTTTGCATATCATGAACGTGTTTGTTGTTTGCCTGTATCACCATTAGTGGACCATTAACCACTGAGATGGATGAAAACATACCTTTGTAAGATCAGATTCTAATCGCTCAATCTTACTCTGAAGATCAGCTATTTCCGCATCTGCTCGTCGTCGAACACGTTCAGAATTAGCTTCAGCTGTCTTTTGAACATGTTCCAGCTGTCTCTGATAATCTTGGACTACCCGCTCATGCTCAGCCCGTACACTCTCGGCGTTAGCTTCCGCACCCTTGTGAGCTTGTTCTAGTTGCTTCTGATGATCTTGTTTTATCCGATCAATTTCTGTTCGAATATGGGCAACATCAGCTTCTGCTGCCTCTTTGACCTCGTTCAACTGTCGTTGATAATTCTGATTCGTTCGGTCATGCTCTATACGCAATTTTCTTCTGCTCGTTAGCCTTCGAAGTTTACCTGGCCCGAATTATACATACCTTAAATCTTCTTCATGGTGTCGCTGGAGAGCCTCGTTGACATTTTTGATCCTCGAATGTTCCACTAATGCGGTCTCTTTGGTTCTTCGATGATCGGCTTGCTCCTGCCCTAACTGTCCTCCCAGAACCACCAACTCTTCTTCCGCCTCTAACAAAGCCTTGGACTTCTCGTCCAACTCAGACCTCAAAGTGTCTACCATCTCTCGAGAAATTCCCTTTTGAACACCATTCGCGATGACTGCAATTTCAAACCCAGGATCTCGGTCGATTGCACGTAGCAAACGACTAAAATTGTCTTTCATGAAATCCACGAATGATTTGTCAAAAAATACATCAGGTAAGCTTCCAGGCGCTGCAGAGCTGAGCTTTTGGGGAAGAACTTCAAAGTCTCGCAGTAATGGGTGAGCTCTGAGTTTTGTAAGTCGATCTATGTATTGGTCTCTTCCTAATTTTGAGCCAAGAATCGGATGAATGGTTGCCCGGGGTACTGGGGAATCTTTGGTTGAGAACTCATAGACAATTCCAAGTAGAACAGCGCAGAGTCCTTGAACCATCACGCCATCGCCGCCTGTATGTAGAGCAGCTTGAATCAGACTTTGAATGTTGCTACCTTCGCCTAAGAAGTCATTCACAGCATCTGGATCTTCGAATAGCCAGCCACAAAGAAGCATGAGATACGCAACCAGGATGCGCTCATCCACAGCTTTGTGAACTCCAAGTATTAGATTGGCAGTGATAGATTGAATACAAGTTATTACTTCCTCTCCATTTTCAGCATCGCCCTCGGCAACGCCCATCGCCATACTCTTCACTTCAGCGTCTTCGAATATCAAGTGGAACAGAAGAACCGATGCAAACCAGTAACGGTATGGATCGCTCGATATATGATTATCTAGAGGTTGAAGAAGTGTTGTCAATACATTTGCTGTCTCGTCGGCCCCAGAAACATGCCCATCTATTGCTCGGCGGAGGAAGTGTTTGCGGATGGCTGGGTGATTGTAAAAGTAAGCTTTGATACATTCACAAGCAGCAGCACGCGAATCGAAAGCTGATAACGTAGGTACGCTCAATGTCAAATCAAGTAAGCCATCAATGACGTAAACCTTTGGAATGGCATTGTGTTGTGCTTGACCATTGCTATTAGCTAGGGGCTCATCAAGCACCGAGGTGACTTGTTGTTGAGCAAAGTTCTCTTGAAGAGTGGCATTGCCACGAATCATATCTGCACAGGTTGAGAGAGCCTATACCTTCCAATCAATATACAAGTAGTTTTGTGTGAACAAGGATTGCATACCTCAGCTTTTATTTGGCCTTCTGTGGATCGACTGAATGCTAATTGCAATACTTGATTGAGAATACCGTGCTGCGCAAAAGACACCTGATTTGCTTGAGTTCCCACCCCCCCAGTAATCAAAAACAATCGTAAAACTGCAAGTAGAGCATATATGTTTCTATTCCGTTGAACTTTAGCCCATTCAGCCACCTCCTCAGCTTCATTTTCGGCACCCAATGCATCGTTCAGTAATTTTGATAATTTAGTAACGCAACCTGTCTCTCGGAAAAAGGACTGATTAGAAACATTAAGCCTTAACAGATTTGCGAGAAGGATCAGGCAATCTTCTACTATTCTATCACCATCTTGAAGGGAGCCCTCGAGCTTTATTATGTTGAATATGCGATCGAAAGCATTTTCAAAAGCGACCAGTTTTTGCAATTCCGAAGAACTTGGCGTCAGATAGGTCAACAGGGAAAGTCCTTCATTTCTTATTGCCTCCCTCCGATCATCTAATACCGCCACTAATCTTGATATACCCAAAGGAGCCGTAAATATACATTCTTCAGTCCTCTCGGCCCGGGATGATAAAATTAACGACAGGAGTTGTAATGAATATAGACGCGAATAGAAATCATTGGTGTCCAGAAAATCCAATAGTAATGTTATATTATCTTGCCGTGTGGTAAATTCATCAGCTATGAAATATGCAAGCTCCTCCGATGCTTCAGCGCTGTTTTGGTTCGGGTTGAAGAGGAATAGAAGAGTCTCAAGGACCACTTTGATGGAATCAACATCTTCCCCATCTTTGCGCAAGCTTGTGATTAGACCTCGTAGGGCCTCAGAGGCCACAGAAGCAGGATAATCTTTTGCAAAACTGCGGAGGCCCAGACATGCTGCTCGCCGATCCTCTAGAAGGGTAGAGGAAGTAAGTCGAGAAGCGTAGACCTAGTCAATTTTGTATTAGCTTCGGTAGTGCAATACGGGAGTGAAACACCAAGGGGCTCTGAAGCAGATAGTGGAAATGGAAATGGAAATGGAAATGCGAATATACTAACGGAAATGGTCTCCCCAACTTTCGACATTTCCCAAAATAGGATATGAAAGGTGTTCTTGGTCGTACCCAAGTTCCTCCCTTCTTCGTTATGATTTTCTGACTTCTATTTGTACATTGAATATGGATGAATAGTTTGCAAGTTTGAGAGACAGTGGCATAATGTCACCTCTTTTGCATACTGAATCCACCACAAGGAATATGTGTGTTCGAAATTTGGAGTTTGCTGGATCAAATCTCAATTGGGAGCTTCTCCAGACATACATGCAATTGGAGACTAGCGCAATTTGGCCTTAGCGTCGGCAAATCGAAAAACATTCCGTCCCTAGATTGCATTGCCTGTCCTGTCCACTGGTGGTCCGAAGTCCGAAGCTAACATACAATGAATTGCAGCTGCAGCATCTTTTAAATGTTCAAATTCTAATTCTTTCAACTTCACACATACAACTATTTCACGGTTTTCGGAACACATCAGTGTGCGCATCGCCGTGATATTTGAATTTTTCATTTTTCATACTTTGAAAGGCGCATACGCCTAAGAAAAGTCTCGCGATTTATTCTTCGCGACATCTCGATAATCTGATAAGTAGATTGGACTAGCGCAAGGCAATCGCGAACTTATACCAGCTCTGTACCTGTTTTTGAAGACTTTTCTCTTATTTTATCAACTATCACCTTGAAAAAAATCGTAGATCATCCCTTCGCAATGGGTGTTCCAGCACTGTTTAGATGGCTGGTAAGTTTTGATTCTCAAACTTCATCATTTCTCGATTTGCTAATAACATTGTTTGATTTCTAGACCAAGCAATATCCCAAGATTGTATCGCCTGTCATTGAAGAGCAACCACGCGAAATTGATGGGCAAATCATTCCTATTGATATAAGGGGGCCAAATCCCAATGGAGAGGAATGCGACAACCTTTATTTGGACATGAACGGAATCGTTCACCCTTGTAGTATGTTCATCACAATACACCAGATTCTCAAGAAGAACGATTTGCCATTCCTGACTTATGCTAATACACAATCTTCAGGTCATCCGGAGGATCGCCCCCCACCCAAAGATGAGGAGGAAATGATGTTGGAAATCTTCAAGTACACCGATCGAGTAGTTAACATGGTGCGACCCAGGAAACTCTTGATGATTGCTATTGACGGAGTAGCGCCACGTGCCAAGATGAATCAACAACGCTCTCGCCGATTCCGTTCCGCGCAAGAGGCAAAAGAGAAGGCGGAGGATAAGGCAGAGTTGCTCAAGATGTTAAAATCACAAGGTAGCCATATCGAAGAGACGGAAATCAAGAAGGCTTGGGATTCCAACGAAATCACACCAGGAACTCCATTCATGGACATTTTGGCCCTTAGTCTCAGATATTGGATTGCATACAAGCTCAACACTGACCCCGCTTGGGCAAAGATGAAAGTCATCATCTCAGATTCTACCGTCCCAGGAGAGGGTGAACACAAAATCATGGAATTTGTTCGATCCCAAAGATCTTCTCCTGATCATGATCCTAATACCCGTCATGTCATGTATGGATTAGATGCCGACTTGATCATGTTGGGCCTTGCAACGCATGAACCTCATTTTCGTATTTTGAGAGAAGATGTTTTCTTCAATGACGGAAAACCAAGGACCTGTAAATTATGCGGCCAACATGGGCACGAAGCCCGAGAATGCAAAGGCATGTACAAGATAAAGGATGGTGAGTTTGATGAAAAGGCTAGCGCCCCTACTCTCAAACCATTTATTTGGCTTCACGTCTCAGTTCTTCGAGAATACCTAGCTGCAGAGATGTATGTTCCTAGCCAACCTTTCAGATTCGATCTTGAAAGAGCTTTAGACGACTGGGTTTTTATGTGTTTCTTTGTCGGCAATGATTTCTTACCTCATCTTCCTAGTCTCGAAATTCGAGAGGACGGTATCAATACTTTGATTGCCATCTGGCGTGATAACATTCCGTATATGGGTGGTTATCTGACTAAAGATGGCCATGTGGACCTCGAAAGGGCTCAATTCATCCTCGATGGATTGGCCAAGCAAGAGGATGCCATCTTCAGAAAAAGAAGAAGGAATGAAGAGAATTTTCAAAAGAAGCGCAAGCTCAATAATGAGCGAAATGCTCGTGGCCGTGGAAATAACGGTGGTCCACAGGATTCGCCATTCAACGGTAGACAGCCTTCTGGTGGAGCTGCTCCGACCGGCTTACCGCTGTTCACTCCAGGCGCGGCCAACAAGGAAGCCAAGGCTATGACCCATGACATGGTGATGAACCGAGGTGCAGCTTACAAGGCCAGTATCGCTAACAAAAGTGCGGCTGCAGCCCTAAAGGAGATGATGAATGGCAAGACAGCTGATGATAACGGTGAGCCTAAAGCCGATGATCCGTCGGCGGAATCACCAGCGACTGCACTGGGAAAACGTAAAGCAGAGCTCATTGAGGATGATGACAGTAGCACGCCAGGACGCAACACACCCATTTCTGGGACACCAGGAACCCCAACGACACCCGGAGACGACCTCCCCCCTGACACCGTCAGGCTATGGGAAGATGGATACGCTGATAGATACTATGAGCAGAAGTTTAACAAAGATCCTAAGGATATCGAGTTTCGACATGAGGTTGGCAGAGCCTATGTGGAAGGATTGGCGTGGGTTTTGCTATACTACTTCCAAGGATGTCCATCTTGGGATTGGTATTACCCTTACCATTATGCTCCTTTTGCTGCAGACTTTGCCAATCTCAAGGATATGAAAATCGATTTCCAGAAAGGAAGAATCTTCAGACCATTTGAACAACTTATGGGAGTCCTTCCAGCAGCTTCAAGACAAGCTATACCGGAGCAATTTCATCATCTAATGACCAATGAAGATAGCGAGATCATCGATTTCTATCCCGAGGACTTTGTAGTAGATTTGAACGGTAAGAAATTTGCTTGGCAAGGCGTTGCTATATTACCATTCATTGATTCGGAGCGATTGCTCGGCGCAATGGCTAAGGTATATCCTACATTACCTGCGGACGTTTCAGCTCGCAATGGCCTTGGAAAAGATGTTCTTCTAGTCTCAGAAGCTCATCATGATCTTTATGATGAAATCACCAGTAAATTCTATTCAAAGAAACAGGATGCACCTCATATGAAACTGGACCCTAAGGTCAGTGAAGGTTTGACAGGGCGGATCGAGAAGAACGAGGATTACCTTCCATACAGCTCTTTAGCGTTCCCGTTGAGCAGTGATGCAATGCCAAGCCTCGATGAAGATCGATCAATACGGTAATTATACTCCAACTCTTCAATAGTATTTCGCTTACAGTTTATCTAGTGTACATTATGAGATGCCCAAGTCTAACCATATTCACAAATCTATGTTATTAGTAGGAGTCGATTTCGGTAAACCGGCACTCAACCAGAGCGATATCGAAATGACAAAAAGCAGGGCATCTAGATCAGGTCGAAATCACGGTGGAGTGCCGTTACAAGGTGATGGAAGAGGTCGTAACCAATTTAATTATGGTTCTGGTAACAACAGTCGCGGCAATGGCAATCGTTACAATGGTCCAGGAACGACTGCACCTAGATATAATAACCAATCTTATGGTTCCCAGAACAATTACAATAACTACAATCAACCACCTCCTCCACCAGGTTGGCAGCCACCTCCACCCGGAGCTGGAGGGTTTGCTCGTGGACCTCCGCCGCCACCACCAGGTTCATATGGTGCCTACCCACCACCACCTCCCTCTGGATACGGAGGTTATAACAATTATGGTGGAAGACGTTAAATTAGGTTACTTCGATAATTTTCACTGATCTACCAAAATTGAAAGATGATTTTTTTCTTCTATGTATAATACGATGATATTGATCCAGAGGCCAAACTTGCTACATGGAAATCAAGAGAGCTCCAAAGGATAAACAGGGATAGGGAGGGAATTCGAGAGAAATTTAAAAGAATTGAAAGAAATCGAGAGGGGAAAAATGAGATAGAGAAAGAGAGATGTACTGATCGAATCTCATGCATGTCTGATATTACAGGCTCGTACTATCCAAACGGCGCAAAAAATTGGGACGACATGACATTACCTAAATAATGCTTGGTCGTTTCTGGGTCTCAAGTCAAAAACTCTATTAAAATGTAAACGTCGTACCATGAAAAAGTCTAGATGTTATTAGTGAAGATCCAATTGCGCGACTCAGCCATTATCCCCAAACATTATTAGTATTGCAATGACTGAAATGTACCGTGTATCCAGATTTATGTGCATCAATGAATTCTACAATTGGGACTTGGTCGTCAGGAAGTACAGGGGCAAATCGAATTAGCCCAAGCAATGTAAGGTGAGCATTTGGTGTACTTTCATGGCCACATATGTAGGTAATTAACTAAAACTCGAGAATATTTTGACGTGTTCCTGAAATTTCAACGTTGTCTCATGTAAATGTAACAAACATGATGAAACGAGGGTATGCAAGTCATTTCTTTAAGGATAAATAGCGGAAGCATGGAACGAGAATGGCCTTGAGTAGATTTCCCGCTCCTGTGCTTTTGGCTTTCCTAGGTAGGCGCCCACTTGTATGTTCAAGTCGTAAACTACAATTATAAAGAAGCTACCAAACATCAAACGACAATAATGCGTTGAACAGATATGAATTATTAACCTTCACATACCTGTAACCTAGGTACGCAGAAAGCAGGTACACTCGCACTCTCCACCTATTTGTTGCTGAACCTCAAGTTGCCGAGACCAAACCGGAAGAAAAAAAGTCCCATCCCCCAAATCCTTTCTCCACAGCGAACTTGTTTATCCATGACTACACGTGTGTGTGGTGCGACTCCCAAGGAACCCCTCAAAAACTCCAACTAAATAAAGTTCAAGCTACTTCAGGTACACTTAATAATTTCCAACCTTCTGGATTCTCAAATCCTCACATTAATAAGTGTCATGCCCGTGGTGCTACAATCTAATTGCTGCGAAACTGCTTCTCTTCCTCCGTTCTAGACAAGATAGTAAACAGATTATAAAGCCC